CCGCAGAAGGTTAAGCTCCGACAAAATCTCAAGTATATGGAAGGTACCTCCTGCTCTTACCACAGTACGGGTAAAGCCCTCCTCAAATATCTTGACATCATCAGGGTCGAGGTCAGAGTCAGACTCGTAGTCGTCGACCATGACACCCTTTCCCCTCTCTGCGGTCAAAGAAGAAGCTCGATTCGGTACGGAAGATGAAGGCCTGCCCAAAGCGGCAACAGCGGCCTCGGGGCCCCGACTTCCCGTTGTCATAGCCTGTTGATCAATCACAACAGCCGAAGCCTCTGTATTCGGGTTGTCCTCGTCCATCTAGTTTGCCTCTGCCGCTGGGTTAGCATCACCGCCAATTTCAAACACTGTCAAGGGAAGGTCACCCCCCGAAGGCACTGCGGCTGAAGGAGCCACTACAGACTCTACTCGCCGCTTCTTCGACGGACCCTCCCCATCGCCAGCACGGTAAGATTCACCCATTGAGCAGGCAGAAGGAGCCGGAGTCTCAACGTGAGGAATAATTACCATGCACACGGCCCCGCCCATAGGAGTATATTGAGCAGCTCTTGATGTAGGCTGGGCAGCGAACCTCGGTGCGGGCCGGGCAGAAGGCGCCCGTTGATGGAACGCGAGTGGAGGAGCCCTCACCCTTCACACTCTCCCTGTTAAACGAGAAAAAAGTTCATGTAAGCAACGAGATCAAATTACAAGACAAAGAACAAGGAAATTGCAATGGGACGACTTACCAGTGAGTGGATTACGCCCGTATCTCTCATAGAAGGACGCCCACTCACGGGCTCCCACCGTATGGGAAAGAATAGCATTAATCTATTCGTTGATGTCATCAACGAGCGGGGGAGGCAATCTCTCGGTTGCGAACGCGGAAAACGAATTAGCAATACCACCTAAAGAGGAACGGTCGACCACCGCCTCAAGGGAAGTCGTAAATTAAACAAAAGAAAACTTATGGGCGAAGTTCCACGTCTCGGGAAGCCCTGCTAGGTCCGCCACAAGGTGCTTGGTCCGTACAAAGAAATAACCCTCCCAGAAATGACGATTAGCCTTGTCGTCCATCTTCACCACCAATCTATTTGTCCCTCGGTGACGCATGTGGATCATTGAGCCTTGAATAAGTTGGGGAGCAAAAATATTAAGCATATGCCCCAAAGTGACCTTTCAATTGGCCAGCTCTGCGTACTTGAGCAGCATGAGGAAGAGTTTGTACACGTACGGTGAAAGCTGAGCCGGGCACACCTCGTAGTAGCAGCATAAGTCGATCACTTGGGAGGGAAGCGGAAGCGTATACCCAATAACAAAAGGGTACGCGTAGAATGTGCAGTACTCTGGGCGGTGCAGATGCAGAATGTCCATTATCGTCGCCGGAATCATTTCAATATGATTCAGAATTCCCCACTTGGTCTTGAGCGCCACAATCGTTGCTTTATCCATGGTAGATGACGCAAGTTCTGGCTCTTCTCCGGCGGGGCTGTTAAAATCATTCCATAATTTTCCCGGACGGGGCAGTATTTCAGTCGTTGTTGGAACCCCTCATCTTCTGCCGCCTTCGCTCCTTCTCCGAGAATAGGTGCGTCATTTTCCGGCACCGGAGCTTCGACGGGTCTGTAAGTGTGGGAAGAAGTACCAGCCATTTGTCTCGATTAGCTGAAATAAATGAGTAAGAAAAAGGGTGAGAGAGAAAATGGTGGCGTCAATTTATGTCTAATAGGAGAATGAACGCAGAAATTTGAAGTATTGAAGAAGGTAAAGGCTTGCAAAACTCCTTTGATAAGTCGAAAAGTGTGGCAATAGAATGGTGTTTTCTCCCTATTTATAGGAACATAAATGTCCTGAGCGGAAAACCCAAGAGCCGCCAATCAAAACTGATAGGGCACAAGAAACGATATGATTCATAAGAAACGTGCGCCTTAATGACAGTGGCTATTCATGATGTATTGAATCGATGTAACGGTTCGACTCCAAACGGACGTAACGGTTCAATGGTATCATTGAAGCGTCACGCCATCACCTCGACCTAAAGGCCTCGCTCAAGGTGTAAACATTCAGATTTCTCCTAACTTTCAAATCGACAGAGCCCGCTAAGTGAAGACCTCGACGGATAGAGGGACTAACTGTATGGGTTAAAATCTGACGGTAGAGGTCGTCCCCAAGAGGAACGATAAGGGGTCGACCAAGCTATAATCATGCCCAGGGGACGAGATAGCAAAAAGCACATCGGCCATCGTCGGGGTCAAATCGTCGAAAGCGTACATCATAGAACAAGCATTGTGTTTGAGCAACGACAAAAGGTACAGTCGTAAGAAAGCACGCCGGTCAAAGACCATTGGATAAAAAAGGAAAGGAACTATATATATGGGCAGAGAGAGCTCAGAGAAAGGGGGGTTCTTACAAAGGAGAGCAACCACAGCAGAGGAAACAAGAGGAATCCCTCGTTTATCAACCGTTACTTCTCTTCCCCTTCTTGGCTCCCTCGTTTATGATGTATCTCTGCTCTGGATGTAAGTTCATCTCTCGTGTTTGGTGTATGATTATCATATTAATAAAACTTATACATTTCTACTCTTGGTTATTTCGCACTTAATATGCTTAGATCTGAAATTAATTATGTTTGGCTAAAATTTACCTTCTTTATTATCAATAATTAGTTTAGCATTTATTTGCTCAAATAATAATCAGAAGCTGGCCATAGTCCGGACTCAGGATTGAGACCAAGGAATTCAGATATGTGAGTGGTGTCAAGATTGCGCATTGTTCTGCTTTGAAATCTAATTTCAAGAATCGGCAACCTCGGACGACTTTAGCTTTTGGGGTTTATTCTTAAGTTGGATTAGACCATTTTGTTTTACTTTATTTACATATGCCTAATCATTGTTAACTTTCTTGCCCGGTTCCATTTTGTTATTTCCAAGATAGTGATGTTCCTACATAATTACAAGCTCTTGAAATTTCCCCGTAAAACTTCAAGCATATGCTAGTAAGATAATGAGGAGTAGTCTCTTTTTCAATTTTAGCATAAAAATTTGTTTTGGCCACTGATTCATAGTCTACGAATCTCTCACCGGAACGTTCTAAAGACTCGTGTGTCTAGTTAACTAAGATTTGGACGCTTATTAACTGTTAAGCACCTTAGTTCATACTTCATATATTCTGGCAATGATACCTTCTCTTCTACTATGCAATTTGTAACTTCCTTTGGGAAAGAAGGATAAGTGAAAAGAGGGAACAAAAGCAGAAAATGATTCACATTACTGGTGTGTTTGGTTTCCAAGAAAATGTTTTCCGTGGAAAATATTTTCCAAAAAAATGTTTTCTTAGAAAATAAGTAGTAATTTTATTCATTTTCCAGTGTTGGTACGCAAATTAAGGAAAATGACTTCTTAAGGTAAAAAAAAAAATTGCAAGGGGTGTGGGATGGATGGGATGGATGGGATGGAGGGGTAGTAGGGTGGGTGGTAGCGGAAAAACTAGAATTTAAAATAAAAAGTCTTTTTTGGAGAGAGGGGTAGGGTGGGTTGGTGAGGGTGGGAAAGGTTGAGAAGGAGTTTTGGAAAATATTTTCACTTTCTCTTGATAAGGAAAACATTTTCCTCCAATTGGAGGAAAATGAGTTCATAAGGAAAATGTTTTCCAAAACATTTAAACCAACCAAAAAATTGAAAAACATTTTCCGAAAATATTTTCCTTCGTACCAAACACTCCATACATGTGTTGTTTCAGGAGAGAGAGGGAAGAGAAAATTTTGTATGGCGTAGGTAGAATGTCAAACAATTTTTTCTTTGATTACGGCCATCACTCACATTTTTAGATATTTTTATTTACGAAAGTTTTATTAGAGAGAGAGTATCCGTGCGAAAACAATATTTTTCTAGTTGAAAATATCGTCTTTCTGGCACATTTCTAAATTGTCTTTAAAATTTCTCCTAACGCGAAACTCTCCGGTAATTATACCAACCACCACCACCACCACCCCAATACAGAAATGTCAAAAGGTCAAGAGAAAACAGGCTCGTAAAAGTCGTAATATAGTTTGGTTAGAGGCGCCCTTAATGTTGTCATGTATTACTATTACACCAAAAATTATAGTTGAAAACAAATAACCACCTAAAGACTTGCTCTAAAACGATTTTTTTTTCACATTATGACAAAACCAGAAAACATAATAAAATGCGTGGGTCCAAAATCCCAATCTTTAGCTGTCAAAAAAATTATCTCTAGTAGCTGCCAAGTTCAAAGGACACCTACCTCATTTCCTTTCTTTTGTAGCATACTCTAGACTTTATTGCTCGTAGGGACAGGTGANTTTTGCATTAACGTTGTCTGATTAAGGAAAAATCAACTTCAGACATTATCATGGTCAAGCATTTTGACTAATTTCAGTTGTTAATTGCTCAAGAATCCTCCATTTCTGAAATGTAGCTTTCTGTCGGTGACATTACGTGCCCCCAAGAAAAGGACCCCATCTAACTTCGGTCCCAAAAAAAATGTACCTTTGCTTTTCTAGTCCAGGTAAAATCCATAAAAGGCAAGACACACAATAGTTTTACTACTACTACTTTATCCTAAAGTCACTATTTTTTTATATTTTTTTTGAGTAAGTTCAATTCACTAATCTCTTTTGACCTCAATGTTAGAAGGAACTTAAAAGGAGATAATTATATTGGTATTTGGTGGTGCATCTAACTTATATACACGGACAATTTTACAATATCAGTATATCTTAACATTTACCTATTGTTATAGGTCATCTTAACTTCTTCTTTTTTAATGACCGTGGTGTCCGGGCCAGCTTACGTGCACCTCGACTAATTCCACAGGATACATGCCACCTCCCACCAGCAACAAGATCAGGTAACTTTATCCACCAAGGCTTGGAGTGATGGAAAAAAACCACCTAGTGTCTTTTGCCTCCGCTGAGATTTGAACCTGAAACCTCATGATTCTCACCTATTTCACGCCATAAAATATTGTACAATGAGTGCACAGAATAACTGTTTGTCGCAATACTATCCAATCATGTCCTTTCATTTGGGCAAACTCCTCAAACCAACACACATAGCAAATAAAAAACTAAGCACTCACAGATTGGAACAGCTATGCTCATAACAAAATTGAAGGCAATTACATACACTAATAACAAGAGCTATGCTACAAAACCTACCGCGAGTCCGTGACTGCTGATTTAACCCAACTGCAGAAGGGAAGTGAATGATATTTACATGTACTATCTCCAAAATAAGTGGCAGAAACAAACGGGGTTGGAATTGACCTCCTAATACTCGTGGTGCGGCTACTGGTGCTCATCATCAGTTTCTTGCTTCCTCAAGAAAGACCGGTTGGTGTACACACTACTTTCGTATCCACTGCTATCACCCGATTCAATTACACGCTTGTCCATTACCCTCTCTTTCACGCCATCACGATATAAACGACCATGTTCCCTCGAAGCTCGTCGCTCCTGTATCAATTCAACAGCTATTCAGAGGAAGGGAAAATGAAATATCAACTAACAATATTGATTGAAAACTGATGTGATGATCCATGTACTAGCTAACACCGGCACTATGCTTAAAAAAAAGTGTTGGCCCATACTGTACTAAAAAAGACATCACATAAAACAGATTTAAAACAGTCCATGTCATTGGTACTAGAATACGGAAGGAGGTTCATTAATGAGATTTGATTTGTGGTGTAACAAGCATAATTCTTGCAAAATATAATGCAAGGTCCAGCATTGAATGCTTGTTTAGAGGCATTATTCTGTAGTAGACTTCATTTTAGTTACCAAAAGAGGCATTCTTAGCTGTCGACTCCCGTGTTCATGAAAACGTGACATTTAATTTAAGGGTGTGAAGGAAAACTACAGCTTACATCACGGAAGGGAAAATCATCAGCTTCAAGCATGTGTATCACATGTCCCATTTTTGGCCTCTTCTGAGCATTGGGGTCGACACAGCGTAATGCTACCAAAAGGACACGTTTCAGTGCTCTTGAAGAAGGCTTCTCCGGCAACTTGGGATCCAAAACACCTTCCGCATTCCGGTTTGAAACCATTATTTTAAGCCAATCAACCAGAGTTACCTGTGAGTCAGATCCATTACACAGAGTCAGAACAAAACTGGAGCAAATATTAAAGAGGTTTCCTGAAACAAGAAACTAACATTAATGAGATGAGACAAACCTCTCCAGGAGGACGGCTATAATCCACTGGATTCCTTCCACTAATGATCTCCATAATAAGAATTCCAAAACTATACACATCACTTCTCTCATTCAACATGCCAGTGCTAGCATATTCCGGAGCAACGTAACTGATAAAAAAGGGGCCATTTGGCAATTTATTTTCCATGAGTAACTTAACATTAGCAACAAAACAGTGTAGTTTGGAATGTCAAGCACTAACCCAAATGTTCCCATAACCCGAGTAGTAATGTAGCTCTTTTCAGCGCCCAAAAGCTTTGCTAAGCCAAAGTCTGACACTTTGGGATTCCATTGCTTATCGAGCAAAATATTGCTTGATTTAATGTCACGGTGAACAACCTTGGGTTCGAGGCCCTCATGCAGATAGGTTAACCTGTAAGCCTCACCAATATTTAGGTACTCCTTTTAACACAATATAGAAAAACAATTAATACTCAAGAACAAGAAGTTAACAAAAACATTAGCTGTTGTATACCCTTTAGCTGTTCCAAGAATGATATTCATTCTAATTTCCCATGTAAGAGGACTGCACGGCCCTACATCTCCATGGATCCACTGTTCTAAGTTCCCATTGTCCACATACTCATACACAAGCATCCTAAGAATAGCAAATTGACATATTGAGTAATCTCATCTCAAGCTCAAAACCAGAGTCAGTTGATAGGTCAAGATCACCTTAAAGGCAACCACCATATAATGCTATAACAGACTGAATTAAGCTGCAGATAACTGAAACTGAAATTACCTGTGAGCTCCCTCAGCACAGTAACCGAGTAACCTCACCAAATTCTTATGCCGAACTCGACCAATTGCTTCAACCTCAACCTTAAACTCCCTCTCTGCTTGTCCCCTGAAAAGAAAACCACATACATCAAAACCTAAAGACAGAGCAAAAGGAACAGATTTTCCATAAACTAGTACTGGGGTTTAAGTTCTATGCACTGTCAGTGTGAAACAATCAGGTCACTTATCATGTAAATCTCTTGATAAATATTAATTGGTAATTTGACGAAAATTGTAACTAACCATCTATTACAGATAGTGCAAAAAAATCTTTACAGTGTCAGTGTATATAACTTAAATCCTTCTATAGTTACCCATAAATCTATAACTATTATTTAAATAATTAAGACCCAGAAACCATAAAGATACCTCATTTCAGACAGTTATGCCACATTACCATGATAGAGCATACATTTAAACATAAATGACATGCAACTAAACATGCAAGGCCAAGAAATATAAACATATTTGGACAATATGCAACAAAAAGGAAAGAACTTTGAAAAGTACACCTGTTATTGAGCAAATTCTTAACAGCAACATTACTGTTATCTTCCATAACTCCACGGTAAACAATTCCATACCCACCTTCACCAATCACATTTTCATCAGCAAAGAAATTAGTAGCAATCTCAAGCTCTCTCAGTGTATACCAATGACCCCACCCCAAATGTGAAACCTCAGGCACAGCAATAATAGCCTGCTCAACAGAACGTACTTCTCCACTACCATGACTTGACCCGCCACCTAACCCGACCCGCTCCGGATAGGCAATCTTATGACCCTTTCCGATCTCAATATGGATTCTGTGATGACCACTTGAATTCTGTGTTTCTTCCTCGGGTTCGGGTAATGGGTCCGGAACCGGAGCTGGAAGTAATTTCGGGCTTTCGGGTAGAGTCCGTGATGGGTCGATTCGGATTTCTTGAATTTCTTTGGATACCTTAGGAATATTGGGGTTTTTGTTTTTCTTAGCTGAAACTGAAAGAGTAGTTTTTTTATTGTTACGTTTTGTAGTGAACCAGAGAGAGATAAGGAAGAGAACTAACACAATTGCAGCTCCAACGCAAATACCCAAAATGACCCATAAACGTAGACCAAAGATTGAGGTTCTTTTTGAGAGTTCATTGTTCAGAAACCCAGACATCTTCTCTTTTTTCTTTCCCCTCCTACTGAGGAGAATTGGAGTTAACTAATATTAGAAGACATTAACAAAGAAGAGACCCGTTGTAGGAGAAAGACAAAGAAGCATATTAGTAGTAATAATAAGATACGGTAGTGAAATAATGCATGTGGCACTATGCTGGGGACTATGGATTCTAGTGTTTAATACTAGTAGTAAAGACAACAGTGGCTTGTTAGAGAGGGAGATCATATTTGGAGCTAAGTTGGGAGGTATTTCTTTCTTCGAGTGTTGGGACCATTCACCATTGGGGGTGGGGGAAGCTGTAATGATGGGACTTCTAGAAATGGAGAAATTGCCCCACTCGTGTTTGATTATTTTACTTTATTGTGGCATTCGTAAGAAACGTGTACCTATATACGTATGAAAATATTTATGGACGTAACCATATAGTCTAGTTGGTGCCATTTATTTATTGATTTTTATTGAAGGGTATGATGATCTTTATCAAATTTACAGCCCATTACAAATAATTTGGTGACCCTTTACACAGAAAATCAAATAGAAGATTAGTAAATTTGTAGCGTTATTTTTCTCTATTTGAATTATGACGAATAATATGAGATCATTTCCTCCGGTATTGATTTAATTTTTTTTTTTATACTTTTTATTTGTTTGGTTAGATAAGGGTCATCAAGAATTTCGCTTAAAAATTGTTGGTGGATTTACTTTAGCTTCATTTTAATTGAGCTTGATACCCAATGCATCCCCACACCCTTTTCTCCGTTTATTTTTTTCTTCCTTTTGATAATAATTGTGTCACTTTTAGTTTCTTTTTTGTTAATTAAGAGTTAAGAAATGATTAAAGAAGAATGTCGTGGAGTTGGTGATCTAGTTAGTTCACCGTATGCTTCTCCTTTTCTGATATTTGGAGTTTCTCTTTATATTCGTTATTGTTAGTGGACCTTTATTTACTTTACTCTTGTTTCTATATCTATACTAGTACAAAGAAGATGCTACATCTGCTGCTTATATTGGGGGGAAATTAATTCTTGTAGCGGATTCCATTAGGAGAAAAGTTCAAAAAGGGAAATAGACCTTACTATAAAAGAGTTTACACCTAGTTTCAGTCCTTACAATTGCATGTACTCTGTAAACAGTAATACATTGACACTAATAATGACATGTCCGTCACAGTGAAACTTCCACTGTGAAAGTGGTACCCTCACTGTAAGCATAACTCATTCGACTCCATTTGCTGAGTTGTCACAAAGGCAATTCATAATTACATTATAAAGATAATAAACCAGAATATCTGCACTGTACTGTAATTTGCGAAGGTATATTTTTAGATTCAACTAAAATTTGTCCGGATTGCATACTAAAAAAACCTTTGGATAACAAACATGCTGCATTTGAGATTCTGAAATTGCAAAGAAAGAGCACGCATCTAAAACAGTAGTATATTTTCATTTTCAAGTATGATAGTGGAAGAACTTGAAACGTCCAACACTACAAGCATCTAAAAAGCTTGAAAGGTTATTTTGTCAACACTAGTTATCTTGTCAAATTCAAGTTTCAGCAGTTGCAAAAGCACAGTTCCGTTTATGCTCATTGAGCATACAATTAAGGATATCTCAGCGACCATTAGGCAAATATTTTAACTTAATGAGATGTAAAAACAATTGGAGTTTCACAGTATCACCAGTTAATTCCATCTACACCAACTCCTCGAGTACTTGATCTTTATAGATTTTGGTCAAGAAGACACCCCTGAAGAGGAATTGTTCCCGGAGCAACTCATATCTAAATGCAATCTTGATAGTGTATCGCCCCGGCATATGTCCTGAATATATAAATAAAAATTGCTTTAGCTTCTGACTTACAGGATCTGAATGAAATACTGCAGGCTGCTTACCTTAGAAGATGCTAAATGGTTAAGAAGTCCATAATGATTCTGAATCGTAGTTTCTAAAGCTAGTGAGTTTTCTGCATTATGTGACGTTATTGTTGGTTTGCCTGACAGATTCTGATTGGAAATTTCAAATGCAGTCTGCTGCATTTCTCGATTCCCAGGAAGTGTGGCTCCTCCATTTGCACTCAGCATAAAACTTCTCCCATCAAATTCATTACCAGATGGAAGTTGCATTGACTGCAAAGACCCAGGGACATATCCCGGGTATAAACTCAATCCGTTCCTCAAGGTAAGCATCTGAAAAGTCAAAGTGAGGAGACAAACAAAGGTTCTATTATGCAGATTTTAAAGAGATATAATGACAGATATGATATAGTAGTAGTGACTTCATTGTAATCAGCAGGCGGTTAGACCTCGGAAAGTCACTTGATGATACTAGTCATAACTTGTGACTTCGTTGTTATCACCATCAAATATCAGCTGTCCCAGAAAGAAAGTTTAAACATTTGATCTTTGAGATTGATGGCACAATGAGGAGTATTCTTTTTGAGTTTTAAAGAACTACTATACTTCTTATGTACTTGTACTTTTTATTTACTAGATTAAATCTTCGTGTGTTGTTGACCACATAAAAGTTATATCAGTGAACTATTTTCATTTACTAAGCAAGTTATATGGAAGTAAAAGTAATAAAAAGATCTTTTCCCCCCTCTCAATTTCTAGAGCCACAATATATGCAAACACCTCATGTTCATCACAAGTACCCCTGTCTACTAACTGGTGAAAAACGCCAAAGTATTTGATAATTATACCAAAAGATTACCATTTTCATAAATCAATCATAATAGGAAGAGCTAACTCTTCAAATTAGCAAAGAGCACACCAGGAAACTTGCATCCATTCATATTTCAGGAGATTTCGTAACTGAAATCATCCATTCAGCAAAAGGTTTAGTAATTCATATTATACGGGGGAAACTGAAAGAAACCACAATATGGATAAGACAACAAGATAATTTCATTAATTGTCTAGATTTCAAGGATGGGGCATATTGCGCTGCCCAACCACATCTTCTTCTCCATCTTTACCCTATGTTATATCTTACTTCCATTGGTGAATGTTCTATATATGGAAGCCCTCAATGGAACAAGAAAGATGCACCTTGAAGCCCTCACGGCTAGGGGTGTGCATTCGAATCGGTTTATCAATAAATCGAATCGATTATTTGTTATCGGTTTATCGGTTTATCGATTTTGAAATTTTTCTTATCGAGTTATCAGTTTCGATTTCGATTTTGTCCTCTTCGGTTATCGGTTTATCGATAAACCGATAAGATATACTAAAAAGACAAAAAAATATTATTATTATTTTTTTACCCTTATTCTATAATACCCTTCCCTTTACCCTAAGTTCCTAACCCTATTATTTCCTCTACCACATTTAAGGAATGATCATATTTAAAACTCAAGGGAATGAAGTTCAAATTAATGGAAAACAGAATTAGTTGTGATGATGTATTTTTTTTTATATACCGTTGGAGTGTTGGTGCCATACATTTGATCCCTTACTTTAATTTCGTTGCATGTGTTTGTTGACACTATTTTTATGTTATAAACGGTGTTCGTCTTATTTTAGCTTCTTTTTGTCCATATTAGTTAGGTGTTTTATAGCGATATACTTTCCGTGGAATCCCGCAAATTTTCTTATTGGTGTAATCGATAACCGAATCGATAAGCCCCAAAAATCGATAAATCGAATCGAAAAAATCGAAACCTTATTGAAATGATAACGATAAGCATATGTACAAATCGATAATCGATAAGGGTCAAAATCGAATGCACACCCCTACTCACGGCCTCACCATTTATTTCTTCTTCTTGAGATTTTCCTACCCCAGGGATGAAAATGTTGAAGCGAAACCAATGCTTATTGCAAGATAGAGAACTGACAAATAGCATGAGCCTCAATAAAAAGCAATTAAATATGGATCCATTCTAGCTAAAGGAGTAACAAGAAACTAGTGAACTTAGAGGTGAAACGTCAACACACCTGTCGAACTATATACAAAACAATTCTTAAATATAAGATAGGTTTTTCTTCATTTTCACTTCTCAATTCAATCCCTTTTCCTCTAACCTACTTTAAGTCATGATACTCCCAATAGTAAGAAACATAATGAAAGGTCGTCCAAACCAATATACTTTCTCTTAGCTTGTCCCACTAATTTTCCGTAATGTACTAGCAATGAGTCGAACCACTACACCAACATCCCTGTGTGTTACGAGTTCAGAATCAAATGTTGGGAACTGAGATCGGTAAACATAGCTTGTACAGCTTCTATAACACTTGGTCCCATGTTCTTCTTATTTTTCTTTTCCTTTTTCCTGTTTTGATTTGATTTTTCAAAGCTCCACTGTCCCTGTATCTTTCATCTAACCAGGCCGAGAGAGGAGACAATGATACTAGCAAGAGCAGAGTCGTGACTTTGATGGAAAACTTTCAATGATACAAGACTAATCACACCTAAGACACAAAATCTTCCAAAAAGGGATAGAATACAAAATTCATCAAAGTATTACTTATGCCTTTTGCTTTTGATTCATGTATAAGACTACTTTAAATAAATACAAGTGTTCATTGGAGGGAATTTCAATGGCCATATTGGGGCTAATGCTAGGAGTTGATGATGTGCATGGTGGGTTCAGTTTTGGGGATAGGAACGACGGAGGTACCTCACTGTTGGATTTCTCTAGGGCTTTTGATTTGGTGAGAGTTAACTCGAGTTTTCCAAAAAAGGAGGAGCACCTGGTCACCTTCCGAAGTTTGGTGGCGAAGACTCAAATTGATTACCTTCTTTGAAGGAAATGTGATAAAGGTTTATGCACTGATTGCAAAGTCATCCCTAGTGAGTACTTCACAACCCAGCATAAGCTCCTAGTAATGGACCTGGAGATCATGAGGAGCAGGAGGAAGAGGGTGGTGTGCAGGCAACCTAAGATCAAGTGAGGTAACTTGACTAAGGACAAAGCTCGGGAGTTAGGGGAGAGGTTGATGGCTATGAGGGCCCGCAGGATTAGGGGAACGAGACTAGTATATGGACCATGACAGCAAATTCCATTAGGGAAGCTGCTATAGAGGTCTTAGCGGTCACGAAGGGTTATTCTGGGGCTGGGGGGTCAGAAAGGGGACTGGTGATGGAATGTAGAGGTTCGAGGTAAAGTGGAAGCCAAAAAAACGGCTTATTTGAAGCTAGTGGAGAGTACAGACGAGGAGGAGAAAAGGAAATATCAGGAGTGTTATAAGAAGGCAAAGGAAGAGGCGAAATTAGCAGTTACGGCAGCTAAGACTGCGGCGTTAAGATGTCTGTACGAGGAACTCGGGGGGCAAACGCGGGGACAAAAAGCTATACCGCTTGACCAAATTGAGGGAGATGAAGGCCCGTGACTTAGACCAAGTGAAGTGCATTAAAGACGAGGACGGCAACGTATTGATGGACAAGGCACATATAAGACGAAGATGACAGACATACTTCCATAAATTGTTGAAGGAGGAGGGGGATAGAAGCATTGTGCTAGGTGAGTTGGAGCGCTCCAAGAGTCTGCATGATTTTGGATATTGTAGGCATATTAAGATAGAGGAAGTGGAGAGTGCGATGCGTAAGATGAGCGGGGACAGAGCGATGAGACCAGACAAAATTACAGTGAAATTTTTAGAAGTGGGCCGAGCAGGCTTGAAGTGGCTTACTGAGTTGTTTACTGTTATTTTTAAGACAAAGAAGATGCCCGAAGAATGGAGGTGGAGTACGATGGTTCCGTTGTACAAGAACAAGGGTGATATCCAAAATTACAACAACTACAGGGGCACAAAGCTATTGAGTCGCACTTAAATTTTTAGATGATACAATTCACATAGTTCAAAGGAGGGTCCAATTGTTCTCAAATTAAGTCAGTAAAGCACATAGGAGTTTCTGTGTTGATATTAACATTCTTCCTTCAAGTTGATGTCATGCATCTACAATAATATCACTGGCAAGCAAAGACTGGAGATGGAGTACGATGGTTCCGTTGTACAAGAACAAGAGTGATATCCAAAATTACAACAACTATAGGGGCATAAAGCTATTGAGTCACACTTAAATTTTTAGATGATACAATTCACATAGTTCAAAGGAGGGTCCAATTGTTCTCAAATAAGTCAGTAAAGCACATAGGAGTTTCTGTGTTAATATTAACATTCTTCCTTCAAGTTGTTGTCATGCATCTACAATAATATCACTGGCAAGCAAAGACTAGAGGTGGAGTACGATGGTTCCGTTGTACAAGAACAAGGGTGATATCCAAAATTACAACAACTATAGGGGCATAAAGCTATTGAGTCGTACTTAAATTTTTAGATGATACAATTCACATAGTTCAAAGGAGGGTCCAATTGTTCTCAAATAAGTCAGTAAAGCACATAGGAGTTTCTGTGTTGATATTAACATTCTTCTTTCAAGTTGATGTCATGCATCTACAAAAATATCACTGGCAAGCAAAGACCTTCGTGAACCAACAGCCACCAAGAAATGTGATCTAAATCAAACAAAAAACACTAACCTCCAATCTAATTCAAAGAGTTTACTTCAGAAAGAAAGAAAAAAAAACTTCTATTACAACAAATTGAGCATGTTTTAGGCAGATATAAAAAAATAGATAGATGGCGTTAAATTGAAGCTTCCAAAGAAGATGCTCTTCAGAAAATAAGCACTCCATATTTCTTCAGTGTTATGTGCTTGACCAAATGGATTACAATACGTGAATTGTTTTAACATAAAACACACACCTTAGTACCTACTCCTGCTGAGCAATCATTACCATAAGCCTACCTAAATGTTCGTTTCACATGTTTGAAAACATAAACACAAGATCTAGCAGACTACAAGCAGCTAGAAATAGTCAAAGGGAAAAGGCCAGAACTGAAACCTGAACTTGCAGTTGAAGTTGCTTCAGATACTCAATGGCTTCATCAAGCATAGATGCCTTGTCTGTCTGTGATATAAATAAAGCTCAAACATGAGACAAAAGAAAGAAAAAACAATACACAGATAATTCTCAAAGGCTGAGGTATTGAAGAAATACTTTGTTAGAATTTGGGATTAGAGTCTGCAGTGCTTTCAGTTTCTCATTGATCCTACTCCTCCTCCTCTGTCACAAATTTAATCATGTATAATAATAATTAACAAATCATGTAATTTAAACAGAAAATTTGCAAATTCAAAATTCAAAATAGAAGCAAACCTTTTCGGATAAGTTATGAACTTCAGCAGATCTACTCCTCTTGGAGGAACGTGAATGATTCTGATTAGCTGGCATGTCAAGTCCATCGCATTCCTAAATAGATCGTAAAAGCACAGTATAATTGCGGACTCAACTTGAATCATTTTTAAAAAAATAATAATAAAAAGGAAAATGAAACAAAAAACTCACCTCGCTACTAAAACCTAAGTTATCGACCTTGTCATCTTCTAGAAACTCTCTCCTATTAGCTGAATCCATGGCGTCAGAATCCCCGAGGCCAGCTGAAGCAAACACATTCTCAACGCCTTCTTTAAACTCCGCCGCATAAAATCGGCCGGGATCGGAGAAATTGAGGTTAGATGATGAATCAGCCGCCGTTTCCGGCACCGATCGGTGATAGAACCCAGCCGCAGCCGCTGACGTGGAAGCAGATGAATTTTGAAGAAAATTGAGGAAGAAAGAAGACATGTCTTCGGATTCGAGAGGTGAAGAAGAAGCGTGAGGATGAGGGCTCGTTCTGTACGGATCCGCCATTGACAGTAACCACCATCACAAAGTGATCATTTGCAGAAGTGTAATATGCGTGTTGCTTTGGGTTTGGGTTTTTTCAGTTTGCACGAAGTTTGACTATGGGGAGGACACACACTCCTCTTAATAGCGTGACTGGGAGATTAGTTCATGTTCTCCCGCCTTAATTACGTAATTTGCTTTGTTTTGAAAAATGAGTAATGTTATTTTATCACCTGATAGATTATTAAATTACACATCACCTCCTTCGATTATGAGAATAAACAATTGAAACCCAAAGGTTTCATTTATATCACTTAAGTCCCTTATTTATTTATTTCTTGTTTCTTTATGTTTAGTTTGGAATTTGGATTTTAAGAAGATGATGAGTAATAGAGAGACGAGAATAAAAGAGCATGAAATCATAGAAATTATAAGGAGATGGTTCAAAATTATCAATTTCATTTCTATACCTCCCTCTAGCAATATAAAGAACTATTTTACAATCAATATAAGTTGATTTTTTTTTTGTTTAATCATGCAATATACAGGGGCAAATTTAGGGGCCGAAGGAGGTTCATCCCCGTCGCCAGAAAATTACACTATACATATAAGGTAAAATTCAATTTGTATCTCTATATATTATATTTTGAATCTTCTTGACATAACCAAAAGCATAGCTCAGTGGTCAAGAGGCGTCGGTTCAATTTTCACAAGTCACATTTAAAAAAAAAAAACAAAGTCCACCATCTCAATGGTGGAGTTAGGCCGGACTCCTGATCAGCTCCAACCCTGCACCACTATATAATGGTGAGGAGTGGTCGATGTAGCTTTTACCCGAAAGGTCGGGATCGATATCCACAGGGAGTTAATATTGGTTGAGAGTTGGGTTTCTATCTAATCTAGCTATGTGTGCTGCTTTTAATTGCACTTCTAACCATGCTTGGATTTGTTTTTATTCTACGTTTAATGCTATTGATTGCTGAAAATAATCTAAGTACAATATTTTTGTATGAGTTTTCTCAATTGATAAAAAGTACTAGAGTAGTGACTTCTACCTAGGTGGGTATCTAACGGGTATCAAGAATTCAGGGCAAGCTTGTTATGATTGGGGTCGTGATATAACCATCATACATAAGTACTCACTCTATACCTCTCGGTAGTTTGAGTGACTTTGCCCAATTTGGCTTTCTCAAGTCCAAATGGGTGTTCATGCAATACAAATGATATTGGCTCAAGTCAGGTATTACTATCTCTAGCTTTAATCCTTTAATTGTGGCTATCAATCTCTTGAATGCACTTCAATTCCTTGTTAGCCTAATTTTTCTAGACTTAGTCTCTCTTTCTCAAGAAGAGTCTAAGCCATAAAGGCACGAATCAGTGTTTGCAACCACCAATTCTACAATTAAAGCATGAATCAAGCTAAATATCACTAACCCACAAACAATTAAGCCCTAAAATTCAAGATCCATTAAATACCCATACTAGGATTGGATCTCAACCCTAGCTAATGGGTTTAGCTACTCATAATCAAGGTAGAAATCAAAGATGGAGATGAAATATAAGCCATAAAAGTTGATTACAAGAACAAAATCAAAGAATATAAGCTAAAGCTACTCTAAAATTACTCTAAATGGTAAAGTACGGTTGTTCACGAGCTCACTGATACAAAAGATAACCTAAAAATGTGAAAAAGATCTATTTATACACACCTAAAATTACTGGACAAAAATACCCCTATGGAGGTTCCGGTGTCAGCGAAATACTGGATGCCTCAGCGAATGGACTTTCACGGCTACGCAAAAACAAGCACGGACCGTGTTTCTTCAATTTTTTGCTTGGTTTGGACTTGGTTCGCGGACAGTGTAGAAGTCACCGCCTCCGCGTTAGCATCAACGGCGGTCGCATAATTTGGATGCGGACCGCGCTCCTCAGTCAAGCTCAACTTGCAGAGTCTTTGAACTTCCATCAACGCTCTCAGCGGAAATACCGCCACGGCCGCGTTAGGTATTCAGCAATCGCGTTTTTTTCATCGCGGTCAGCGGTCACTATTGTACCTAAAATATCTTCTCTGAATCTCATTTTCGCGGACCGCATAATTGTGGCCGCTTCAGTGGTGGTCCTTATGCGGCCCCTCTTTTCCCTCACGGTCAGTGCTTCAGTCTAAGCTTTGAAGTTGTGCGAATTTAACTTCTTCATGAGTTGATTATGGCTTTCTTGCCTTATTTTGACTAAACCCTGCAGACAAGCGCATTAAATCAGTTTTCAAAAATACTTTTACATATTTTTTATCCAAAACCTAAGCAAAAAAGAGCATAAGATAGGCTAAAATCCATAGTTATCAACTCCAACCTGTATATTTCAAAAACTTTGATTACACGGAGAAGGACATACACTTTAGGCTCAATTACATATTGTAGATTGGTAGCCACCACTTTAATGTGCTCTTGTGTGTAAGAAATTGATAGAAGTCTGATGGACTCCTCTCTACTACTTGATACATCTATATATTCTCAATAGATGACAACAAATACAGATATGTCCCAAATACTATATGTCTAATCATAGTATCAAGTGGTGATATCATTAACTACAAACATATTCCTTTTCACTCTAAACGTGAAATTAGGTATTCCCTCTTGATCAAACTTCAAAAAAGCTCTAACCTTTCTAGAAAGGGAAACAGCTTGATTGAAGATACCATGAGCTTTTGTGTTTTCTCGCCGGTTTGCCAATTGATATGCAATCTTGTTACCTTTCCTGAAAATATGCCTAAACTGAAAATCTCCAGTTCGAGTCAATTTCCAAATATGTTCAAGTACATGTCTGATATGTCAATGTGCCTTTATTTTCCTATTAATTATATTGATAATTAAAACTGAATCTGACTCCATAACAATATTTTTCAAACCATGATGGCAACACATCTCGATGCCTTGTAAAAATGCCTTTACCTCGGCAAAATTATTACTGCAAATGCCATAGAAATCAGAAAATGCCTTCACTAATTCACCATGATGGTCTCTGATAATCCCACCTCTTCCAGCTAAGCCTGGATTGCCTTTACTGCAGCCATCCACATTTAATTTGACATATCCACTCGTAGGTTTCTTCCAGCAAACCATATGAGAATGAATTACTGGTGGCATCTTCTCTACAACTATGCATTTGGCTCTCCAAGACTGAGGGAGTTAAAGATTAGGGAATTGACAATTAAATATCAATGCTATGCATTTATCTTTTAATTTCTTGACTATATTTTTTGAACCCGTTTAATAGAAATCCTACATCTGCTACTGGCAGTAAAACACAGTAGCTCTACTATTTCGGATCCACATTGTGTATATCCACTATGGCACACTTGTAGTAATTGAGAGCAAGAATTTCAATAATAACACTGCTTCAATATTATTTGTAAGCGGATACATGGATGGACTTGATTGTGCTAGGCACTTTCCTAAGAAACCATTTTAGCAGTGTGAAACCTCTCTCCAGGATTAAACAAGCCTACCTCTATTAGGGAAGATACAAGAATCAGAAATTATTAAATTACAAATCCAACTAGTTAGTAGTAAAAATAAATAAGAAAGGAAACAACTAATATTTAATATTGGACAACAGAGGAAGAAGAGAGGCATGAAAGGAAAGGAAAGAAATGATGTTTCTGCTGTTTTTAAATTAGCTGAAGGGAAGACCCTTTTTATAGGCAAAAAACTTAAAGCTTTTCTTGCCATTTGTCAAGTTTCTTGTCATTTGTCAAGTATGATTGTCAAGACTTGCATGCATCTTGCCACATGGATGGACATTTGTCCACTTTTTTTGGAAATATCACAACAGTTCCCCCACATATTTTCAAAAAATTCATAAAAAAAGGAGTAAGATTTGCTGGATTTGTATGGTCCAAATGTAATAGGTTTAGTGTCTTTTGGACTATGAACCAAACATAGATCAATAAAGTTTAACTCACATAATTACTTGTGAAATATAATATTTCTATGAACAAATAACTCTCATTGTAAGTCAGAGATTTTATCAATCACATTTCGACCCCAGTAATTTTGTTGTTCAACTCGGTTTTGCGCCCAATAGGCCATGTGTGTGCCTGGTTATTCATGATAGCTCTAGAGACTAGGCCAAAATCTCGTAGGAGCGGCCCCACTCTACTCTCATATAGTTGAATTCATCAAATATATACTACTTTTAAATACACAATTCATAAGGAATATGAATTTCATTAAGAGTTATAACTCAACCTCTCAACTAGTTGCAGTCAAGCACTCTCTTTTAGTGTTTCAGTGTCAATATCAACTTGTTATTACTCATATGAACCTACTTCATGGGATCTCCAATCACATAGGTTGGGTTACCATCTCTATTGACATCATATCAGCATTAACCCCATCTCTTTTGAGGTTTGAAGAATTAATTTTCTTCCCACAGGTTTAGTCAGAGGATCGGCCAAATTTATCTCTGACTTCACATAATCAATGGAAATTATTCTATCTCTCAACAACTGTTTTATGGCATCATGTCTTTACTTTTACAATTATAAGATTTATTCTTTGCAACATCTATTATCGCTTGACAATCACAATGCATAGACACAGGAGGCAATACGTCCTTTATTAAAAGGATATTAGCTAAGAAGTTTCTTAGCCACTCAGCCTCAGAATCAGCTAACTCCAGAGCTACAAACTCTGATTCCATAGTCGATCTAGCAATGATCGTATGTTTAGCTGATTTCCACGATATTGTACCACCACCAAAGGTGAATACATAACCACTAGTGGATTTTGTCTCATCTAAATCAGAGATCCAGTTTGCATCATTGTACCCTTCTAACGTAGAAGGAAATCCACTATATAGGATACCATAATTCATGGCTCCTCTCAAATATTTCATTAGTCTAGCTAATGCAGACCAATGCTCTCTGTTGGGATTATGAGTATATCTACTCAGTCTACACACTGCATAGGTTATATCAGGCCTTGTAAAATTTATTAAATGCATCAGACTCCCAATAATCTGCACATATTTAGACTGAGCAACTGAGTCATCATTATTCTTTTTCAACTGAGAGATAGCATCAAAAGGAGTGCTCACATATGTGACATTAAAATATGCAAATTTCTTAAGAAGTCTCTCAACATAATGTTCTTGTGACAACATTATTCCATATTCACTCCTTATAACTTTTACTCCCAATATTGTATTTACTTCACCCAGATCTTTCATATCAAAATTAGCAGACAGAAATAATTTTGTATTTTGTACAATATTTAAATTTGTACCAAATATAAGCATGTCATCAACATATAGACATATTATCACATAATCATTGTCTACCATTTTTGTATAAACACATTTATCCACCTCAATTGAGGAAAAATCGTTTCTCAGTAAGACTTGTTCAAATTTCTCATACCATTGCTTAGGAGCTTGTTTAAGGCCATAAAGATATTTAATTAATTTATAAATTTTATTTTCTTGTTCAGGAATGACACAACCTTCAGGTTGAACCATATAAATTTCTTCTTCTAAATCACCATTTAGAAAAGCAGTTTTGACATTCATTTGGTGGATAAAAAGTTTACGAATTGAAGCTAAGGCAATTAAAACTCGAAGAGAAGAAATTCTAGTCACTGGTGCAAATGTATCAAAATAATCTATATTTTATTTTTGAGAAAATCCTTTTGCTACTAATCGAGCTTTATGTTTATCTAAAGATTCATCAGGATTAAATTTCTTTTGAAAATCCATTTACATCCAATAGGCTTTGCACCAGGAGGTAAATCAGTTAAAATCCATGTATTATTTTTCTTAATATAATCAATTTCAACTTTTATTGTCTCTTTCCAATAATTAGTATCTGAAGAAGATATAGCTTCAAAATAATTTGATGGTTCATTATCGACAAGAAAAGTTTGAAAATCATTTCTGTCACGACCCAAAATCCATTAAGGGCCGTGATGGCGCCGGACACCACTGTCAGGCAAGCCAACACCAAGAAGTTAACTAAATTCTCATTTTAGTATTTTTGAAATTATTTCTTTTCTTTACATTAAACAATAAATAATGAACTTTACCGAGTAAATAATAATGTCTCTAACAAATTTTAAATACGGAATAATTCCATATACATCACAGAACCCGGTGTCACAAGTGCATGGGCAATTTTTAGGAAATAAAATGTAAAACAATAACTGTCCGGAATACAAATTGGACGGGGAAAAAAATACAATACTCTAAAGGAGACTCTACTGGCTGCGGGTCGTCGTGAGAGATGTAGCTCACCTAAGTCTCAGTATCAACCATGCTGCTGCGCCCAACGGGGCCAGTAGACATACGTGTGCCTGTGTAACAAAAATGCACAGCAAGTGTAGTATGAGTATGAAAACAACATATACCCAGTAAGTATCTAGTCTAATCTCGAAGAAGTAGTAACGAGAGATCGATTTCGACACTTACTAGTAGTCCAATAATATAATAAGTCGTGGATTTATTAAAAATGGTAGTAAACTCAAGGAAATCATGAAGCAAGTAAACAATCCTTTTAATTATAAGAGATTTCCAAATTCATATTTCATTATTTATTAATTTACCTCAGACCAGGGAGGCAATATCATTATTTATAAACTTCAAGGCAAGCAATACAAGCATGCACAAATCATGTCGAGATCGTACGGCCCGATCCAATAAATATTTAAACTGTGCACTACCAGATGGTCGAATGGCACGAATCATAGATGCATCTATTTAATCTGTCGAGGCGTTCGGCCCGTTCCACAAAGATAAACACATACATACAATCAATCAAGAATTCATCAGGAGACAATCATCCAAGGAAATGACAATTTCTCTTTTAACAGTCAAGAAAGTGATGTTTAGCTCTTTAGAAATTTATTTACCAAGTTCGATGTGATTTAGGCCTTTTTAAATTATCAATAAAGTTACAAGTATGGCAAGTAAAGCATACGGTTGGGTCCTAGACTACCCGCACTTAAGCATAATAGCAGCTAAGCACGGACTCTTGTCACCTCGTGCGTACATAGCCCCCACAAATAGAAGCACATATTCAATTATTTTACCTATGGGGAAATTCTCCCTTACAAGGTTAGAAAGGAGACTTACATCGATTTGAAGTTCCATAATCGGCTCCCAAGCCATTCAATCAACTCAAATCAATACCCAACGCTCCCAAGACCAGTCAATAAATGAGAAAATCCATAAATGCATGCTCTAATACTCACAACAATTCAATTTAGATAAATTCCCAACTCCGTTCGAAAAGTTGACAAAGTCTCCATCGGGCCCACGTGTCCGGATTTCATAATTTTTCGAAGATAAAGATTACCCATAACATTACGAACTCAATATACATTTTATTCCCAATTCCATGTCAAATTTCGTGGTCAAAATCCAAAAATATCAATTTTCTAGGTTTTTTCCTCAAACCCCAAATTCTCACTACATAATCAATGTATTTAACTCATAATAGCCCCTCTCAAGAAGCTCCAAAAATCGCCAAAAAATGGAGAAATGAGCAAAAATGGCCAATCCGCACCTGCGGACTCTTTCTCGCTTCTGCTCATCCGCTTCTGCGGTGCTCCTTCGCACCTGCACCCATCCACAAGGGCTAAAGTTTTTTCCGATGTGAGTTTCAGGAGAACTTTACCCTTATCCAATACTTTGGTAGTACTTGAGTCTCCAAGGTAGACAACTTCTCTATCATCCTCTACAGGAGTATAAGAGGAAAATGCTTCTCGATTTGCACAAATGTGCCGAGTAGCCCCATAGTCTATCACCCATTCTTTTGCGTGTGCTACAATGTTTACTTGAGAAATGGCAGTTGCAATAATATCACCTCCTTCAGCTAAGTTAGCCTTAGGAGTATTAGTTTTTCCTTTGTCATTTCCTGCTCTATACCTGCACTATGAGGCATGATGACATGGTTTTCCACAAACAAAACAGGAGCATTTTTTTCTTTTAAAGTTAGGATTTTTAGGCTTGTAACTTAGACTTATTCTCGTACCTTTTGTTGTTGTTGTTGCTGCTTTGCACTAAATTTGCTTTAAGGGCTGTCATCGTAGCTTTGGCATATTCGTTTTTGTTGAAATCTTCAATTAGGATGTGGGTCACAATTTCCTAAATGGTAAAATTTTTCTGTTTGTGCTTTAAGTTATTTTTGTAGTCACTTCATGAGACAGACAGCTTCTCAATCAGCACTCCAGCAACAAACTTTTTTGGAATGACATCCCCTTGGCCTTCAAGTCTTCCAACAATTTTTGAAATTCGTTGATTTGTACGTTCATCTCTTTATCATCTCTCATCTGCCACTGATAAAAAATTTCTACTACAAATTTTTGTTTTGTAGCATCTTCAGCAGTGAATTTTTTAATTAAGGCTTACCATATAGCTTTTGCTTCTTTATAGCTGCAATAACGCCAAACAGTTCATTAGAAATAGTTTACAATATGGTATGACGGCATACCTTGTTGGAATGTTGCCATGATTTTACTATTTTATTGTCAGCGTCTGCACTAGGTTGTGGATGCAGCAATGCATGTGCAACCATGGACATCAAGCAGTGAGAAAATATGTTCTTGCCAACGCTTGAAATTTTCATTGGCGAAAATTTTGATATTCGACACATCTGGAAATGGCCTGGCATATGATAGTGCAACTGGAACTGGGGCATCGGAGGTAGCACCAGTATTGGTAGTATCAGTAGTATTTTCAGCATCAGTGTTGTTTGCCATAGTTTCTTAGATTGTAGTAATTGAGAGCAAGAAATTCAATAATAACACTGCTTCAATATTATTTGTAAGCGGATACACGGATGGACTTGAGTCGTGCTAGGCACTGTCCTAAGAAACTCTTTCAACAGTGTGAAATGTCTCTCCAGGATTAAACAAGTCTATCTCTATTAGGGAGGATACAGGAATCAGTAAAATATTAAATTACAAACCCAGCTAGTTAGTAGAAAAAGTAAATAAGAAAGGAAATAACTAATATTTAATATTGAACAACAAAGGATGAAGAAAGGCGTGAAAGGAAAGGAAAGAAATGATGTTTCTGCTGTTTTTAAATTGGCGGAAAGGAAGACCCTTTTATAGGCAAAAAACTTAAGGCTTTTCTTATCATTTGTCAAGTATGATTGTCAAAACTTGCATGCATCTTGCTACGTGGATGGACATTTGTCCACTTTACTTGTATGCATCTTGCCACATGAATGAACATTTATCTACTTTTTTGAAAATATCACAACACTTGGGGTAAAGCACTCTCTATCGAGAAGTACTTTATTTTCAAGATTAAAACTCGAAAAGTTTGATTAATGATGGGGTGATTCACTGGTTGCCTATCATCTTTTTTATGTAACTTATTCAATTCCGTGTGGATTGCAAAATGCTGATTGAAATTAGAGAATTTGTTAAGCAGCAACTAGTGAGTCCACTCTTCTTTGTGCGTATAAAAGTGATTGTTTTAGATATCAAGATTGTGGTAAGAAGTGGTTGGAGAAAAGTTACAAAAGATCCATGTTGATTTTCTGCCAGAATGATGATCCCTTTGGATTTTAGCCAGCAACCCAAAATTGAATATGATTCTATTGAATGAATCAGTCCATCTTTCTTGTGATAACCTTATCCATTTGGATGCCAATAGCAACTGAAAAATTAATTTATTTAACAACCAAGTTCCATTCCCGAGGTCGGTGTCTTTGCTTCTTCTATTTGTTTATTTTATATTATTGTTAATATTCGAGTTTTTGTCGTCTTCTTTTTCCTTGTCAAATGAGGTTGGTTAGGACTTGGTGCGAGGGTTCTATAGTCTGTGGTCTATTTAGGTATAATTATGGATTTAGGCAGTCGACATAGTTAAGTGTTGGTTTGGCAAATTCAAGTGAAGGGGCTTTGTCAACTTTCTTTGTCACCAATTAATTTATCTTTAGTTATGATCTGTTTTCCAACAAGTGGCCATAATCAAATGCTTGTTCTGCTCGCCATCTACCCTAATATTTATTTTCATATCTATACTAATATCAATTGTATACTTATTTTACCACTTATTAAATTAGGATCAATTATGTAATGCGAACAAACGAATACGTTACGTCTCTCTATACTTTTCTTCCTACTGGCCCAACTACTGTGCTAGTTGCGCACTGTGGCCAACAAGCTCGCCTTTTAAGTAATTTAATTTAAAGTCCTGTTGGACATATTCGTTTCTTAGATGTCGGGGTAATGCCAATCTAAAAATATACAGTTTACCTTTGTTCGTCGTGTCTTTGAAATGAAATGAGTTCAATTAATTGCCAAAAAAGAGTTACAAAAATTGGTTTGATAAGCTAATGATATTATTATTGTTCCTATAAGCCATATGTGATATGTTGTTAAAAACATAAGCATAACAGTAGACCTTTTCTCTTTTCCTTCTTTAAGGTGGTTTGGTTCATGGCTCAGGCTGAAAAGGACATCAATTAAGACATGAACTATTATAGCATTGACCAGGACCTGTCAAGGCAGATTAGGCTCCGTTTGGCCATAATCATTTTTTCAAAAAAAAATTAAAAATATCATCATGTTTTGAAAAAAATAACTCAAACACAACTTCAACTTTTCTTCAAATAAAATGTTTGTCCAATCACAACTTATGACAACAACAACAGACCCAATGTAATCCCACAACTTCAATTTTCAAAAACTATTTTTCTAACAATTTCAAAAACTCTTTTCAAAATTCAATCAAATGTATGTCCAAAGCTAGCTAGATCTTTCACCAGCAACACATATAGGACTTCTCTCCATATGAGGTTTATGCCAACCATTCAGAGGTGTAATTTAATGCATTTAGGAGATATAACATAAGAAGAGGCAGAAAATGAACCAAGTATATTTAAAGGTATCAATAAATTGGAAAGGTTGAATGTAAATCTCCAAATGGAGTAACCAAATAATGTAACTCTTGCCTAATGAATCCCTAACGTTGCTAGTGTTTCTAGCTCTAAAATAACTCCTCCAAACGGAGATCACAATAAAATTATTGAGAAAAATACACAGATCTTTCTCAAATAAATCCTGGACCAAAGGAGGAGACCCACTTAGTGTGCCAACCTTAGATAGCCCAACCGATACATCCAACTTTTTGACACAAGAAAACTGCTCAACGCTTTCCTCAGGTTTTCAGCCCTGTTGTTTTGCAAATCGGGCACAAATTCTTCTGCATGAGCCACTGTTTAATGCAGCCGGTATGAAAATCATGGCCGCAATCCAGTTTCCCAAGATCCTCACCATCCTTATATTCTTCCTGAAATTTTAATAAACCCATTAAAACTCCTCGCTCCAAGGTTCAATCTAAACGAAGAAAGCTACCCAAATAGGACGAACTAAAATTGTAGTAGAATATTAAGTTGATACCTGACAAACACAGCATGGCTCAGCATCCACGGGTTCTTCTGTTTTAATGCATACATACTTGCGTTGCTTCAGACGATTCAAAATGGTTTCTTCACTAAGCCCAGTGCAGACGTTCCCAATGCGCTCCTCCAGTGCAAGTAATTCCTGTAAGTATAATGAATGTGGACAATTAAGTAGTATGTCTTTCCGTAGAAATGAAATGTCCTTATTTTCCCCTACTTACCTCATATGACATGTTATCAACATCAAGCCGCATATCCCGATGGCGATCATGAATATCCGCCATTCCGAAGAAGACCGACTGATCGAGGATCATAACATCCTGGAATACAAAGACATTTAATTTCAGAAGATGTGATCTGAAAAGCTAATCTATCAACTCAACTTCTTACTGAGAAAGCTAAGAAATATAAAAGCATATCGATACTGTAGGTTATCATCCTATCCTCTCCATGTCCCCTCAGGAACATAGGCTCACTAGTCAAATCATGCTCCCCACCCTCCATATACAAAAATAAATAACTAAATAAACGCCCCACAAACAATAGGAATAAAGGATGAGAGAAAGGACACAAAGAGGAAGAAGTTGGATAGCAAAATAGAGAACAATATTATTATCGAAGTTCCAGTAACAGCAGTAAAGATGATTTGCGTCTTGTTCATTTTAAACACCTCGTTCTTCCTAATGCAGGATCCAAGAAGAAGTGTACAAGCTTCACTACAGGCTGAATATGTGTTGAGATTATGGGAAACAGATCGCACAACAGGGCAATTGACTGGGAAATCCAAGTTAATTATCGTTCCCTTCCCTTTGTTCTTGATTCTCGAATGCCCTATTTTCGATTAATCATTCAAACTCATTTAGGGAGCATGAAACCTTGGACCTCGTTGAGAAAGAGAGCTCCAGATCTCTGCAATTCTTTGACAAAATCTGATTTTCCTTTATTTTCTAATTAATAGGAGCTATAATTTAGGTTTTCTATAAGGACTAAATAACATAAAATAAACGTATTAAAGGAAACCTACAGCAATTAAAACACTACAGCCCTAGAATTAGTGTAATACGTCTTAGTATAGACATGGAATACAAAGGCATCTGTAACAATTATTCCAATATCGAACATAAAGCCAGTGTCAAAAGTATTACAAGAAAAGAGAGTTAGCCAACAATATATTTCAGTTTTAGCCCTCTAGTCTATCAATTTTTTTTATAAAGAGCCTTTTAGTATATCATGTCAATTCAGGTCCATGTTTCCCCTTGAATACAAGAAGAAAAGGCCAAATAGTGTGGAAAAGCTTAAGCAAAAAATACGGAATTTTGGCTGTTTAGAGAATGTTTAGCCATGGGGGCCAAAATCCATGTTCTGTCTTTGTACCGGCATTGCTTAGCCACCATCATACCCCAAGGTAATATAGGAAAACTGAAGAAAATTTTATCAATTTGTAACAACGCCGTGACTTTGCACATGCCTCACCACACTAGGTTATAAAGGAAATCTAGAAAAACATATCAATGATGCAAAAGCAAATTAGCCAGTTGACTGAGAAATTTGGAACCTGATGAACTAATCAACCTATTCAAATGGCTTCGAGGAACCTTTAAAATAATCAATCTATTCAAATGGCTTCAAGAATTCTAACCTCGAATCTTAAGGCCTCTCCCCTGCGCATAAGATCCAATACATTGCGAATCTGTTGAAAGGTAAACGAAATAGCTGTAAGTAATTGAAAATGAAAGGAAGAATTACTTAGAATGAAAAACTCCTCACTCTTGTGCTTTTACTACTAAGTTATATAGAGCTCAAGCTAACATTAATAAAAAATAAGCAACAAATAAAATACACCTTTAGTTCCTCAGCCAATAATAAGTACACCTATAGTGCTCTTTCCCTTTCTGGAAATTTTTGCATGTCCTAAATTTAGCGAGATTTGAAAATGATACTTTGTTCAGGAAATGACCCTTAACTTTAAACGCACATTTGCCACAACAAAGGCTTTCTGCTCTTTTTCCACAAGAAGATTAATAATCGTAGAGGTCAAAAGAAGTTTACGCTGACAAATGCTAAGTGCACAGTGGATTTTGCTAAAAGAAGCACTAGAACTAAGGTATATTATTCACTGTCAAGAAGGCTACAAGACCAATGTGTCAGCTGGAACTAAGGTAACTCTGAATTTACGAAAACAAAATTCGAGGTTCAGAAACAAGCTGCGAGCAAAAGATTTGCCATAATAATAGTATTATGACCCCTAATGTTCAGTGAATCAGGGAAACCCTTAATGTTCAGTGTACGAGGGCTGAAGGGAAAGAAAATACTATGACCTGACAATGATTGAAGTCCGCATTGCTTTTACCCAGTAACTCATTCACAAGCGAGATATAACATAATACTGAACCAATAAAAAATCAATATCATACCTCGGAAACAAGCCTGCTCCTTCCTTCACTGGCAGCAGCCAAAGACCTCCAAGAATATGGAACTCCAACAGCGCCATCGAGTTGTCTCTCCAACATCAAGGCCGACCTTGAACTTGACGGACGATGCCCATGACGACCAGAAAGTGCCATCTCCTGTGAGGCAGCAGAACCCAAAGGTGGTGGGGTGTTACCATTCTGACCTCCAGGTTCACTGCCAGCTGAAGACAACAAAGATCTACGAACATATTCTGAGAGTCTCCTGGGATGTTGAGAAGGATTTCTGTGTTGCACCCAACTAGGGGAAGCGGAAGGAGCTCCTGAGCTGGGACTACCTCGAGAAGTAGATGCAACATTTCCAGCAACAGCAATATTTCCTCCAGTCAAACTCCAGTTGGCAGGATTTTGGTTCAAATTTCTCAAGTCAGTAGCGGGTATGAACATTGGATGCTGTGAAATGTTCCTGGGAACACTTCTTGAGCTTGGTTCTTCATATGCTGCAGAATCTCTCTCCCCAAAAACAGAAAAACTTGATGAACTGCCAGCTCTTGAGCTTGATGATAAATCCCACCTCTGTGCACTTCGCCGCAGAGACGGAACCTGCACCGCTACAGGCTGGCCTCGAGGAATTCCATTATCTGCAGCAGACACAGACCTCAAATCCAAGGATTCATTACGAAGCAGCCTCGATGAATCCCGTTCAGATGGCATGCTAACATTTCCATCATTACCCGCAGTACGAAACAGATTAGTAGGAATAGAAGCTTGCTGATGAGAGCCATTGATCCTCAGCCTGAAATTTCTTCTGAAACTTTCTGCACTTCTTGAAGCAGGCAATGCAACAGGACTTTCCGTAGTAGCTCCACCCACGGTGAGCCCAAGTCTTGGATTCACCTGCTCCGACAAATTGATGTTTCTGCTACTTTCTGTTGGTGGAGGGATACTCGCACCTATAGTCATATTATTTGGAGTAGGTAGTGAACGCCATAAGCTGTTTTCTGCGCATGGAAGATAATTTGAACTTCCGCTTCCTGAAGATTGCCCTAGATGTCCTTCAAGTGCTTTTCTCTTACAAGCCATTCTTCGACCATCCAATGAACAGCCTGGCCTGCCATCAATTTCATCCATCAGAAATCCACTAGTAGCAGAAGGCCCAGCAAAAGGGTTGGAAGAAGTATTCACGGTTGACATCCGTTCTTTTCCTGGTGCATTAGATGTGAATGCTGGGGTGCACTCCATCACTTGGCAGTCATCATCATCATCTTCATCTTCATCGTCATCATTCCCCTCAAGTCCAGAACTTCTATTTAGATCATGAGGAACAGTGCTAGAAGTAGAGCCTTGAGAAAACAAAGTGTGGTTAGCTATCTGGTTGTTCAAATTTACTTCAACATCACTCAATGAAAGAATGTTGGTAGACACATATTGCTGTTCAGCAGAGAGGTGAGAAGGCCCAGGACCGGCACTAATTGCAGATGACCATCCATGATCTGTTTTACGTTCGCTCCGACTAACATTATTTTGTGTACCGGAGGAGCTGGATTCTCCTAAATTCCAGCTAATTATATTCTGTCTTTCTTGGTTTACAGGACTAAGAAATTGTATGTTTGTCTCATTAGAAGGTACCATATAATCTGGTAGCCGACTTTGTGCAGGATTCCGCAAATTATTCCAACAAATCTGTTGATCTATACTGCCATCACTCGATGTTGAACCATGATTGAAACTCAAAGTTTCTGGCAGGGAACCGATGGTACTCCGTTGCCCTTGCATTAGGTCTATACTCAATTCACAATCTCCAAAAGAATTTGAGATTGTAGTAGTGCAAGCAGGGCCTCAAACTACAGCTAAGCAGACCTGAAACAAATTCAAAAACATAATTTTGACATAACCACTCCTTAATCTGAGTAAAGCAGGTAAATTAAGGCAGTACATTAGTAGGACGTGAGAATCAAAATTCCTGTTCGCATATTCTGATATATTAGGTAAGGAATAAGGTGGGAAAGAACACGTTTTTATGAAAGAAACATTAATTTGGTGATGATCTCATAGACAAGCCTTAACCACCGCATTGATATATGACCTAATCTAGTTGATGCCACAAGTTAAAACATATCTCATCCTCCCTGAGATATCTTTCTAAGTTGCATAGCAACGAGATTTTATAAGCGATACATGGGTACCAAAAACAAGACTTTATGCAATGAACAATATCACCTTAAACATCACAAAGAGTAGAAAACAAGGAATAGATAATTGTGTTGAACACAAACCTAAACTTTGCCATACAATGAATGTAGTTGATTTCAATTAGACTGAGGCAACAAGAAAATTCTGAACAACAACAACATGTAGTGTGTATGCAGACCATACCCCTACCTTGAGAAGGTGGAGAGGTTGTTTCCAATAGACCCTCGGCTAAGAAAAGCATAATCACAGAAAATTCTCATCAACAAAAATTTGAAGAGCTTGATACCACAACTACTTCACATACCAAATACCATTATATAAAAGTCTGGAAAATAGCAGCCTTTAAATTGAAGCAAGGACAAAATGAAGCAACCATCAACTAGAAACCAGCATTACACTAGGAAAAAGTAGGGCCTCCCCTAATCCAAAAACATTTCGAGTTAAAATTAAACATATGTACTAACCAATAATCACGGACTCAAAACTAAATACATCTGCAAACTTCAGAAAATCCAATATCCTTGATCAAAAAAGAAGTAATCTCTCTAAAACCATTAAAAACAGATCTTTACTAGTAATAATTATCAAACATCAGAAAAAAGTTGTATTCTTCAATAGAAGAAGGTGGTTAACTCATCCCCTCTAAATCAGCTTAATGTAGAACCATAAACAGCCAAAAAAATTATATNAAAAAAGAGGAGCCTTTGAAGCATTAAATGCATACAGTCAAACAAGAAAAAATCGAACCTTTTATACAGCAAAACCAAGGGAGAAAAATGTCCATTGAAACATATAACATAAATAAATAAAAAAGTATTTGCAGATAAACCCAGAATCAGCATGAGAAAACCAAAAGCTTGAAACAAAGAAAGAAAAACCCAAAGAGAAAGCAACCAAAACAAAAAAGATCGGCTGACTGAGGAAAAAGTATAAGAATTTTACCTGCAAAACTGCACCAGATGAAGCAACAGATCTAAGGTTACCACCTGAAAATCCAAAAGAAACGTTAGATAAAAAATGGTTGATAAATCTTTTACCTTTCTATAGAAAAACCCAGATAAAAGAACAATCAAAACAAGAAAAACATACAAAAAGAATCACCTCTTAACAAGAACTGAATGAAGAAAAGAAGAAGAGAGGAAACATCAAAGATGAAATGGGAAAACAAGAATGAGAGAGAGAGAGAAAAAAGAGAAATGAAAAGAGAGGTGGCCTGACCTGGTAGACTAAAGAAAGGGAACAGTAATCTTTAACACAAAAAACACACCCTTTAATAAAAAAGATTTATGACCCCAAAAATCAATCAGTTTCCAAACAGAGAATTAAATGAAATGGAAGGGGAAAAGAAAAGAAATAAACAGAGGTAAAGAAATGAGTTGTTGTCTGATACTGCTTACCAAATGGCTTTAAAAAAAAAATACTAAGTACAGTAAATGATAAGATGTCTAACTTTGAAAATTCACCTGTTTCAAGGCAAGAAAAAATAGAGTAAAAGTAGTCTCTACTAGTACTATTCTTTGGATGGAAAATTAAAGTTAAGTTTCTCTCTTCTTCTCACACTGTCTCTCTCGTTTTCATCTTCACGCCAAAGCACCTGTCCCTCTTTCTAATCACATGCCTGTCTTTGTACTCTTCTCTTTTTTATATATTTAACGTCTTCCCCCGGATTTTCTGTGTATTTTCGGTCATACGTATTTTTTTCCTTATCTTTACATTGATTTTTCACTTTCTTTGGTTTACACGTGGAAGTTGGAATCATTTTCCTCTTAACACTTGGAATATTACTAGTACCATTTTTTTTCCTATTATGTCTTTTATTTTACTCAAGGAATAATATCTAGAGAGAAATGTAAATTGGGAATATAATTTAATTCAAATGTTTTTTTGTAGGAAAATTTGAAAAATTCGATCATCCGAATTTGAACTCTAATATGATATTTTTTTCAAATTTTGAATTTTCGTTATTACTGTACGCTGACAGGTTATATAGGAATAATATCTATACATTAATATAATTAGGAAAATTAATTAATTTAAATATTTTTAGCTAATTTTGAAAAAAGTATGTTGTTATATGAAATCTTATTATCTGAATTTGATTCCAAATATGACATTTTCAAATTTTGAATTGTCATTACTGTTAATACAGACAACGAATGCACAAAAATAATATCTAAAATATAAATGAGGATAATTACTTAGCTTAAGTATTAATTGTAGAAAAAAATAAAAGTTCTAATAGATGTAGGAAATCCTATTATTTGAATTTGATTTCTAAGACTTTATTTCAGATTTTGAATAATCATTATTTCTCTTAATTGTGACCAAGATGTAGTTGAAAAAATTTCACATTTTTAAAAATTTTCTTATTCTATTTTTGAGAATTAATAATGGACTTTTAATTTCATGTTCTTATAGTCAAACTCATTTCCCTCTCTCTTCATGTTATTATTCCCTCTATCTCAAAATGAACGGATGGAACTGAAACACGAGAGTAAAACACATAATTTCAGTAAAAAAATTAGATATTAATTGTTGTAATTTTAAAACTATATTAAAACATTTAAAACCGTTAAAAAGTATTACTCTACTACAAATCAAGATTTGAATCATTAAAAAAGTCAAAATTTGTTATATAGTTAATTTTTTAGATTAATTGATTATTTTGTAATTACATAGTAGAAAGTTATTTGAAATGAAAGTGTAGGAGGAATAATATCTGGACAGCAGTATAAATTTGGAAGAATATTTAATTTGAAACGTAATTAGTTTCAGCATAAATAAATAAAAAATAAAAAGAAGAAGATCCATCAGTTAGAAATTAGTAGTATTGGGAATTTAATTTTTACATTGTGGCTTCTCTCAAAATTTTCATTATATCTCGTAAATTTGGTCAAGCTGTACTTGGAGTATTTTCTTTAATTTGAATTGCCCATTTCGGATTTCGGTATTGGTTATAGATATTCAATTTCTCATATAATGCTCTTTAATTCAAACTTGTTTATGTTCATGCTATCACTTCCTCTGTCTCATTCGGAACACGCAGTTAACACACCTAGCTTTCCATTTGGCCATAAGAAAATAGTTCTTTTTTCTTTTAGAAATTGATTTTAGGATACGTGCGATACGAGTATACAAAATATCGATGTGTATAAAATTATAAAAAAATATAAGCTCTTGAAAATGACTAATATTGATCTTATTTAGTCAAAAAGTAGCGAATGGTCTAGCTAAGCATGAAAACGACCAAGATAATCTTGAAAGATCACTGTTCTATCATGTATCACCTTTTCAATTTTAATTTTGTATCAAAATGATCATCTAGGTACTTATTATAGACATGTCAACAACAAAAAAGAAAAAATAATAGTGAAGGACCATTTACGTGGCTAAATAATAAATATTCATCGCTAATCATATTCAGTGACAGAATTAGCGATGGATTATAAAAATATTTGATCAGCTACAAGATGAATTTTTTAACTAATTTATATTTTGTAACCTCAAATTATATACATGTTCTTAGCAATAATATTAGTTTATTTTTTTACCAAAAAAATTAAAGTTCTTTTCCAATTATTTAACGGGAATATAAATTACGGTAATTTAGATGCTTCAATAAATTAATTATTATAATTAATTATTTATCACAAATTAATAATTTCTATTTTTTCTAACAATAGTTACTATTAAAAAACTCTTTGATTTAGTACTCCTAAATATTAGGAAAGTTTTTTGATTTTACAATTATCCAATGTAAAATATATATTTTAAAGGGTAAAAAGGTGAATGACATTTCACTAAGGGTATTTGTGCCTTTAATATAGTATAGATAAATAAATTAATGTTTTGCCGTGCAATTTTTTGTTTTCATTTGAAGATGAATTTCAGATTTTTTTCAAAAATTTAAAAAACTCCAAAAAATTATTTTTTGAAAATTTCACTTCACATCACTCACAAAAATTCAAAAACAACCAAAGTTTTATAAGCATGTCCAAACGCAGCTCTAATTTTTAAATACTATTTTTACTTGAATTTTATTTCCCACTTTTTTTCCGAAATTTTACAATTCTTATATCCGAACGCCCACTTATAATTTTAGTGTAAATTTTCTTAACTTTTTGAAATAATATTTTCAGATTTAGAAATTCATTAAAAATTTACTATAAGTCAGAGAATTCAAAATTATTTGAAACTTTCTTAAGTACACAAAGCAATTTAATTCTTAAATGGTGTTGATGTTATGTAAAATATGGCAAATGAATTCTTCATCCGGTTATGTTTAATGGCGGAGCCACACGTATTCGGCGTTTTCGGTAGCTGACACTTGTTCATTGAAAAAATTATACTCAATGTATAACTGGGTACAAAAGTATAAAGAAAAAAAACACATATGCTTAATGAGTGGGTCCTACAGCGAAAGTAGAAATGTACTTACCAATTGCATTATGGCTCTAATACATTTTCGATACCAAAATATCTCATGTACTATTAATCTATTATAGACCAATTTTTATTTCCCATTTTAAATTTTGGGTGGTGACTGATACTTTACCATTTATTTCCCTTGGAATTCCCAGAAAATGGAAATTACTTGTGCCCTCGTTAGTTGTTGGCCTGAGGCATTCACGAGTTTTTTTTTTCCGGGGGGACGAGTATTATAGTTTTGGCAACTGTGCTTGATGCTGATTATTATCCATTTAATGATCAAAAACTTGGTAATTTCCGTCAATTATATCGATTAGCTTCCCTCTTTTCAAATGTTGTTTACTTACTTGGGTGGTTTGCGTTGACATAAATTTCACTACTTTAAAGTTCCGGTAAAACCTACGAAGTATTTACCATAACCAAACAAAATAACAAATTTACAACCTAAGAGCATTCAACACCTCTACTTTAAAGTTAAATTAGAGATAAAATGAGTAAAATGAAAAAGTTTAAAATTAAATTATTTCTAAATATATTAAATGTGTCATTCTTTTAGGAACATACTAATAAGAAAAATGTGTCATTTAAATTAAAACGGGGGAGTATCAATTAATTTATGACTCTTAAAATTATATTACTTAGTGGACGTTTGGACATAAGAATTGTAAAATTTCAACAAAAAAAAAAGAGAATTGTTTTTTAAATGAAAATACTACAACAACAACAAAAACAACAACAACAACAACTACTACTACTACTCTGTGAAATTCCACAAGTGGGGTCTGGGGAGCGTAGTGTGTACGTATACCTTACCCTTACTCCGTAGGAGTGGAGAGGATGTTTCTGATAGACCATCGACTTAAGAAGATGAAAAAAGACAATAGAGCAGTAATAGCAAGGGGAACTAGAAAGATAACACCAACAACGTAATAACCAAAAAATAGACATAAAAGTAATAACAATAAGCGATAACAATGGCACAGTACTTCAAACACAACGGAGTAATATGGATACAACAAGAGTCACTAGCATCCTAAAGACAAAACACTATTAAACTAGCCTTCTAAGACCTAACTTGCAATCCTAAAAAAGTAATATGGACACAACTGAAGCCACTAGCAACCTAAGACAAAACACTATCAGGCTAGCCTCTTACCTCATAACCTACAACCTTAATGCTCGACCTCCACAACTTCCTATCAAGGGCAATATCCTCGGAAATCTGAAGCCGCACCATGTCCTGCATGATCACCTCTCCCCAATATTTATTTGGTCGTCCTCTACCTTTTCTCGTACCCATCAAGGTCAGTCGTTCACACATCCTCGCCGAGGCATTCAAGCTTCTCCTCATCACGTGCCCAAACCATCTAAGCCTAGCTTCCCGCATCTTATCTTCCATGGAAGCTACGTCCACCTTCACCCGGATATCTTCATTCTTAATCTTATCCAGCCTAGTATGCCCGCATATCCATCTCAACATCCTCATTTCTGCAACTTTTATCTTGTTGATATGAGAATTCTTGATTGGCCAACACTCTGCACCATATATCATGGCCGGTCTAACCACCGCTCCATAGAACTTACCTTTAAGTTTTGGAGACGTCTTCCTGTCACACAAAACACTAGATGCTAGCCTCCATTTCAACCACCCACCCCTACACGGTGCGTAACATCCTCGTCAATCTCCCCATTCCCCTTGGATAATCGACCCTAGGTACTTGAAGCTCATTTTTGGGGGATGACTTGAGAGTCAAGTCTCATGTCCATGTCCTCTTCTCCTGATACGCCGCC